ATGTTCACACGTACACATGTATTTTTATAAACTGAGTTTTTCCTTCTTCTGTTTAAAAAAAAACCTCCGTCCACATGAAAACGCAAACGCGTGGTCCATGAGAAATAGTCCTGCCACCACAGCTGGAAAAAATCCTAGAGGAAACTGCATGCATTTAATACAATTATAAAAATGCATTTACAAACGTATAAAGAAACTGCCCCTGAAATCACTTTGAGTCAAATGTCAGCTCGTATTATGAAGGCTAATTCTTGATCAGAATTTTTGATTATTGATCAGAAGGTGTGACTGAGAAGTCAAAAAATGATTAAAAACCCCATGAAAAATATTAAAAACTAATGCAATACAGAAATTGCTAAGTTAAGACATGACCATTGGTCAGCAAAATGCTAATTGGGTCAGCAGGGTCAGAAAAAAAAACAGGTGAAGAAGAAAATACCAAAGTTAAATGCAAAATAATTAAGAATTAATGTGAAGAATTAGGTGTGAAACCATCAGGGACCTTTTAGTCTCCAGCGCCACCATTTTCCAGAACTGCAACCTTTCTGGAGTCTCCAGAATTACAAGGTGTCAGGTTCTCAGAGACTTTAAAAAATCCTAAAAAATGACCCTCATTTAATTAGAAGACATGTACAAGGTTTAAAATGTTCATGAAATATTTTCAAAGAATATTGACATTTTGAGCAGCTGCAAGTTTGAGCAGCTGCATTCCTCTAGGTCAAAGATTTAAAAATGGGATTTACAATAAAAAGTAATTTGCAAAATTATTTTGACTTGAGTTTATTTATTAATGAGTAACGTATCTTTTGAGTGAATGTGCAAATTTTTAATGTTATCAGGTTTTACCATGTTATTACAACATTTAACCACTTTTTATGAATTTAAAAATTAAGAAATTCTTTCGAATTTAAATATTGTACAAGAACTACAGCAAAAACCAATTTGATGTATATTTTATCAGTATTTTAGAAATTGTATTTGAATATTACCAGTACTGACTTCAATGGATTTCATTCAATTCCTTTGAACACAACTGCTCAAAACGGTCTAAATTTATGAAACCTACACATTAAAAACATTATTACTCTGAAATGTTTAATGTAAATGTTAAGTGTAAGTGGTGAAATGTTAAGTAATGTAAGGTCTTTCATGACACTACATATGCTGGTGTGTGAATTTGATAGGTGCTTGATATAAAATAAATGGTGCTTTAAAAAGTCCTTGAAAGTCCTTGAATCTGGTGTTCATGAAAGAGTGGGAACCCTGTTTAAACCCCTAAAGGAATAGTTCACCCAAACTATCCAAAATGTAGATGATTTTGTTTCTTCATCAGAGCAGATTTGGATAAATGTAGCATTACATCACTTGCTCATTAATGGGTCCTCTGCGGTGAATAAGTGCCAACAGAATCAGAGTCCAAACAGCTGATAAAAGCAAATATTAATGGTGGATTTATTACAAACATGGAGCTTTTCTCTTCACAAGGTATTGAATGATGGAGTCGAGTTATGTGGATTTTGGATTGTGATGTTTTTATCAGTTGTTTGAACTCTCATTTTGATGCCACCCATTCCCTGCAGAGGATCCATTGGTTAGCAAATGATGTAATGCTAAATTTCTCCAAATATCTTCCAATAAATTCCTCAACATCTTGGATGGCCTGAGGGTGAGTACATTTTCAGCTAATTTAAATTTTTGGGTAAACTATTCCTTTAATATGATCTGACATACCATCTGTACCCTGAACTCCTGATCATTTTAGACTCTGTCCATATGAACATCAGAAATATTCAAAGTCTGTGCAGGATTATGTTAAATGTCCACAAGCTCCTCACATTCTTGAGTGTAACCAAGACAAAAGGCCTTTTACAAACTTGAAAGAGGTGAAAGTAAGCCCTCCAGTGGTTGCTGAGATAAAGCACAGAAATCATGCTGAATATATTTTTATTCAGGGACCTTGTCTCTGTCTTGCAGTTTTGGAAGAATAATATAACTATATTCTGACCTGACCCACTTTCGGCATCTTCGGCATTTCTTGACATAATCTCTAGAAAGTACTTATTTTGTTTAATTTATTTGATCATAACGTTCACATGTATAAAACTTAAAATAATAAAAAGGTATAAATGATTAAACTACTTAAAAAGTATTTTTTATACAATAATAAACTACTACCAATATAACTTTCCTTAATTTCTTATGTGTAAGTGTTTAAACTCTAGATGCATTTCTAGAGAAAGGCATCCTAGAAAAAAGTCCTGCTCAAATTGTCTTATCACACAAGGTTTTCATAATGCAAATGTAACGACCAGCTCACACAGCTATCAGCATCACATGATGACCTGGTCTGAGCACAGAGGGAACTTTCAGTGTTAGATGGATGTTATTTGGGGTTCTTCAGGATGATGTTGGTGTCCCTTTAATGAAACCTGCTATGACTGCTGTATATATACTAACCTTGTGTACTACAACAGGAAGAAACTTCTGATCGACAGTTTTCAAAGTGTTTCTTTTGAAAAGACTCCCTGTAGCAGACCTTTAAGGTATATATTTTATTTGAATATATATGCAGATGTATTTGTTTTATGGTTAACCAAGTAAAAGTTAGTGCTTTGTTGTCACAGGGGACTGGATCCAAAAATGGAAATGGACAGTATTAACGCAGAAACCCAGATAAATGTATACCCAAAACAGGAGATAAGTCATGATGCTCAGTCAAATTCACAGATTGTTTGTGATGAATGTTGAAGAAAACTAAGAAGTTACCAGTAAATTATAAAGAAGAAATTATAGAGCTGCTAAAACTGGCTGGACCAGTGGTTGTGTGAATATTGACAGTGTCAAAAGTAAATGAATAATTTTGTATTTTATTCACACTGCACCTTTTAAGAAGAACTTTGATCAGCCGAAACGTTTATATATTATATATAAAATGATATATATAAAATGATTTCAATAACTCAATTTAATGCTGATATGTATATGTGTGTGTATACACATACATATCAGCATTGAATTAGTATTGAGTTATTGAAATAATTATTTTAAGTATAATAATTAATTTAGTTTATCTATTAATTGTTTAACTCTTCGATATGTTTTCAAATAAATGTAATGTGCCATGTTTAGTTTAGCTGACAGCAATGTTCATATATGTCATTTAAGATCCAATGTAGAGTCAAATTAAGGCCTTATAATGAATTTTAACTGACAATTAGTGAAAATGCATTGTAGCTGTTATACAGTATATGTTCTCCTCTTTGTGCAGTTTATATCTCAGCTGATGATCTTTCTGATCAGCTTCATCAGCACTGTGTTCTGTGGACACTTGGGGAAAACGAAACTGGCCAGTGTGGCTCTGGCTATTGCTGTGAGTTCACAAAATAACTTAATTATAGTGGCATTTATTAAAACATTATTTATTAATGTGACCGGCATCTCCATCGGCTCTGGATTGGCATCTGCATGCGATACACTCATCTCTCAGGTCTGATAGTGAATGTTCAGTAATGTGAGTATCATTAATGTACTCAGGAGTTCATCTGAATTTAATTGTGTCCTCCAGACGTTTGACAGTAATAATCTGAAGCGTGTGGGTGTGATACTGCAGAGAGGGATTCTCATCCTTTTGTTGGCCTGTTTCCCCTGCTGGGCGCTGCTCATCAACACAGAGCCCATCCTGCTGGCTGTCCGACAGAGTCCCAGTGTGGCCAGGTCTGACAGGTTCAACATTTACTGGATGTTATGCATTAATGTTCTTGTCAAGCAAAACGTTGGTAGTAAATGATAAAAGTATTATGAAATAAACTGGTTTTAACAAGATGCTTTAACTGTGTGATTATTATTTTTTCTCTCAATAGTGCCACAACTCTATGTAAAAATAGTCATGCCTGCTCTGCTTGTAAGTGACACATTCAACTTTTTTGCACACTATCATTTACACTGCAATTAACACTAAACGTTCACAAACTTTAAAGGAACCGTTCACCATAAAACTGTAAATGTAAAGTAATCATCTAAGCTCATGCTGCTCCAAACCTATATGATTTTCAACTCTAAATTTCACTCTGTTCCTCACACAAAGCTTGATTTTCACTTTATAAGACTTTACAAAAATATTTCACACAGGTCACATTAACAGCTTCTGTGGTTCTTTTAAACCTTTTTTGGAGCTTCACAGTTGCCAAAGTATTTTGTGTTTTGAGGAAAAATATCTCTATTATCTGAAAGAAAAAGTTTTAGAATGGCATGAGAATTAGTAAATAATGACAAACTTATTTATTCATTTACTTGCTTGCTTGCTTAGTTCAGTTGTCCTGCCTGTTTCCAGCAACATTTATTTATTTATTAACCTACAGGCTGCCTTTATGTATCAGCTGCAGGGCTTGTATCTTCAAAATCAGATATCCTCCATTTTGTTGAAGTTTTTACATTTATGTATTTGACAATGCTTTTATTCAAAGTGATTTACCAGCATTTCTGGATTCTCAAACAGCTCTGATTGCCCATTGTGTTCACACGCTCAACAGATATATCTGTGATTGGCTACAATGAGCATCTGTTCAAGCACTTCACCCAGCGCTTCGGACTCCACACGGGAGCGTTTGAAAGCAGAGTCTGTCAGATTCACTTATAGACTCGGTAGATTTGGCTTTCAAATGCTCCCGTGTGTATCTGTGTAAGTGCTCGGTACTTTTGACAACACTAATTGGAAATAGCTGTAATTTTTAAGAATGTATGCTGGCCCTATGATTTGCTTTGGAATAACAAAAGAGACATTTATTTATTTATTTATTTTAATGTGATGCCTTTCCATACTGTAGTAGGTACTCTCTTAAAAATAAAGGTTAAAAAAGGGGTGTTTTTCAGCGATGTCATAGAAGAACCGTTTGGATTCCCCCAAAGAACCTTTCTGTGAACAGTTCTTAAAATAACTTTTTTTTCTTAGTGTGAAGAACATTTTAACAATCAGAAGAAACTTTTTTCTCTATAGCTTTTGTGTGATAGAAATATTCCATGGATGTTAAAGGTTCTTTGTGGAACCATAGATGCCAATAAAAAACGTTATTTTTAGTGTAGATAACAGGTTTCCTTAGGTTCTGGTGCTTTTTGTAGTGACAGCTATTTAACGCTGTACACTATTGCTCTAAGTACTGTAACTGAGCCAATAAACAGCATTACCATGCTGAATACCTCCATCGTCCTCCTCTCATCTTACCTTTTTATTGTTAGGTCTGTGGATTGGGTTTTTTGGTTGTGTTTTCCTACAGTCTTTGTTCTTCATCATCCTCATTTGCAGACTGGACTGGAAAAAAGCAACTCAAGAGGTGGGTAATTTTTCTTCATCCACATCTATATAGTATAGATGATGACTGCAGTCTTTATCTTCTTATTTTCAGGCTTTAATCAGAGCAGGTGTTGAGACCAAATATTAATAGTTTGCTATGGAAAATAAAGGCTGTACAGAAGGTAGTGGAAAACAACAAATTGTTGATTTCATCATGGACTTTGTCTATTGACTGATTATGTTGTCTTTTGTTTGTCCTTGTACAGAAGTACCACAGCAGTCCCAGCACATTGAAGAAGGCCAGACAGATGCAAACACAGACTTCGAAGGGCTCAGTAAAGGAGGAGGAGGAATAGCAAATGCTGTTGCATTGGTCACAGTTGGTGCGGTTTTGACCACCAAACAGCTGGTTGTCTGTCGAGGACTTGTGATTTTCTTCATGCTGCTTATACTAGCTGGAGGGATTATGTTAAATGAGGTGCTCACTGGACTTCTCAGAGTATAGTAAGTTCTGAAAGTGGACAGCAATAGAAGTTTTGTACTTTTTGTACCTTTGGAACCAGGGTTATAACCATGATAACACTTTAACATCACTATTTTGTAACATCTTTTTTAAATTTCACTATTTTTTTTCGCTAACTCTTTAGCACCCCCTCGATGTCCCCTTTGCATGCCCACAGGGATTAAATAATCACTAGATTTGCCCCCTAAACGGCATGTTTGAACAAAATAAATTGTGACTGATCGCTTTGTATCTGAGTTAACACATTACTTGTTTTAATGTTTCTACAGTTTTGGGGGGATTTATGGTATTTTATTATTATTTTTTTTTTATATATAAAATAACATTTTATGTAAAAGTAATTTTAAAGAAGATCTACATTTATCATTTTTATTCATTTTGATAACCAGGGCCGGATTTACCTCTTATCGTGGCATAGGCAAAAAAAATTTTGGGCCCCCTTCCTTATTAATAGGCCTATAAAATATTACCACCCCAACAAACAAAAATATTTTGTAATCATTGGAAACCGTTACAGTGTTTTCTATCACAATAAGCGCTTGCATTCAGTCGATAAAAAACTTTGTCGATAATCTTTGGTATCTACTTTGAAGGCATCTTGAGTAAAACTGCTTCATATTTAACGAAGCATATGCAAACCGCTTGAACCGGGAGTGACAAGACCCGGTTAACAGAATACGGAAGTCTGTTGCGCATAACCCCTATTTCAACTAAAGCTACTATGTGTCTGCAAAAGACCACTCATTGGCTCATATGCCATTTCCATATAGGTATACATCTTTTCACAAGTTTTCCATGTAGATTTATATAATAGACATTATAAAATCAGTCTTATAACAACAACTAAAGCACGCTTTTTCAAAATGTAGCTTTTTTTTTTTTTTTTTTTGAAAATTTATATGGGGCAGCTAGGGGGTTACAAGGGTCCCCCCGGTGGAGCGGTCGGTTGTGATGCACTTGTGTCCTAATACCGCCTCCAACCGGCAGGGAGAACCGTGCCTCCCCTCCCGGGTCTGTAGGTACTCGGCTGGCCAGCGATGCTTATACGGCCTGTGGAGAAGCTGCCTCCACCTTACACGCTACTGCGTTTTTGCAAATGCACCAGGCCAAGGCACTGAGGGACTTGCACGAGGGGGGTCATGACCTGGAAGTTCTCAGAGAGCTCCGCACCGTGACGGACCTCGTGCTACGAGTGACGAAGTTTACGGCGCGGTCTCTGGGTCGTGCGATGTCAACTATGGTGGTCCAGGAGCGCCATCTCTGGCTGTGTCTGGCCAACATGTGCGGGACGGACAAGACACGATTCTTGAACGCCCCCATATCCCAGACCAGTCTTTTCGGCGACACAGTGGAGAACTTTGCCCAGCAGTTCTCCGCTGCCCAAAAGCAGACTGAGGCCATCAGGCATCCTGCGTGCAGCTGCTGCCGTCATCGAGGGCGGCCCCCTGCCACCGCCCCCGCGGCCTCCAGCAAAGTTGCGCCGTGGAGCCGGTCGCAGGGCAGCCGCCCCGCCAAACCTGGTGGCAAGTGAAAGAGCAAGAGACCCTGAGACGGGCAACCCAGAGGTGGAGGGACCTGCTCTTCAGGAGATGGTAAGCAACCACTCCCTCCCCCGGAGGAGGGCCGGGCGGAGATCTCTGGGTCCCCAGAGGGGACGGGGGGTTGTGGACAATCCAGTGTTGTATCACACTCACCCTCCTCTCTTGCCAGTGAACAGCAGTGGGCGGATCAGGAGGACGAACCAACGGACTACCCACGCACCCTCTGCTCGAACGCAGGTCAGTATTACACACATTCAGACCCCGCCTCGGACCGGCTACGAGATGCATGGGCCGGGTCCCTGCTTTCTTCCTCGCTGCCCCACTGCGGGTACGCCTGTAGTTCCGTTGGTGTCACTTGCGCGGTGTCTGGGAGCCTGGCTAGCGCTACCCAGCCCGTCACGATGGCTTCTTCGAACCATCAGGCTCGGCTATGCGATTCAGTTCGCCCGGCGCCCTCCCAAGTTCAGGGGCGTCCACTTTACTTAAGTGAAAGCAGCAGATGCCCCTGTCTTGCGTGCAGAGATCGCAGTCCTGCTGGCGAAGGATGCGATAGAGCCGGTCCCTCCAGCCGATATGAAGACTGGGAAAAGAGCAAACTCTCCCCGATACAGAGGATCTCTTTTCTCGGTATAGAGTTAGACTCGGTCAAACAGACAGCACGCCTCACGCAGGAATGTGCTCAGTCGGTGTTAAACTGCTTGAATACATTCAATCAATGTTGCTGGTAGTGCACCTTGCCTTGATCCATCTCAAAGGGTGCTTACAAGGCAAGCATGTACTAGTCCGCACGGACAACACTGCAACCGTTGCGTACATCAACCGACAAGGTGGTCTGCGCTCCCATCGCATGTCACAACTCACCCGCCACCTCCTTCTTTGGAGTCAGAAGCATCTGAGGTCGCCTGGACGGGACGCGGAGGGTCTAGGCGACCTACCCCAATTGTAGTTGACACCATCAGCAAGAGCACCATCTACGAGACATGCTTACGCTTTGAAGTGGAACCTGTTCATTGAGTGGTGTTCTTCTCACCGAGAAGACCCCCGGCTCTGTCCCGTCCGAGCCTTAAGGTGCTACATAGACCGGACACAAAGCTTCAGTACCTCAGACCAGCTCTTTGTCTGTCATGGAGGCCGGCAGAAAGGGAATGCCATCTCCAAGCAGAGGATGGCCCACTGGAAAGTGGCTGCCATCACCCTGGTTTATCAGGCACAGGGTGTGCCCTGCCCGTTCAGGTTGCGAGCTCACTCAACTAGAAGTGTTGCATCCTCCTGGGCGCTGGCTCGTGGCGCCTCGCTGGCGGATATCTGTAGAGCTGCGGGCTGGGCGACCCCTAACACGTTCGCTAGATTCTATAGTCTT